GGGGCGTCAGACCACCAGGCCCCAGAGGATGCCGGTCAGCAAGGTCAGCGCAGGCAGCCCCTCTCGCCACCTCTATCCCACATCCCTCTGGAGCCAGTGAGGCAGCCCCTAATGGCCAAGTGGGAAGAGCTGAGCAAAGAATTACACAAGACAACACTGGATCATGGCCCAGTGGGTAACCTGGGCCCAGAGGTCACAGGTGCCCTCACTGGATGAGAGCCTCAGGAATAAATACGCAATAAGTAAGGTCTAGGAGTGTCACCTGCTGTCCACAGTGACTTACACAGAAGGACCCCCTCAAGGATAGGACCCAGGGCCACTTCCTGCAAGCCTGAGGTTGTAACTACTTCCTTCCAAAGAGAGCCCTATGGGGAGCAGAGAGAAAGCAGACAGCCCCGGGAGGCTGGGGGCCAGCCTTGGCCAGGCCACAGGGTCAGCGTGAATGCCAGGACCTGCTGCTTTAGGTGTCCTCTGCAGGCTCTGGAAGAAGTGTCCCTGAGCCACTGTGATCTTCCTCCCCAAAGCCCTTCCCTATCTGACCATGAGAAGAACCTTGGGCAAATCGCAGAGGGAGACAATCCCAGAGGCCCTGACCAACAAGTGTCCAAACTGTCCAGGACGTCAAAACCCAAGAAGGTCTAAGAACAGGCAAATCCAGAGGAATGCAGGAGCCAGGATGCCCAAGTGCCACTCAGAGCTCCCACCAGACCCCGAAGAGCACATGGGCCATCCATGAAAGCCAGGGCAATGTGAATAAGGCCCAGGTTCAGTGACAGTAATGTCCAGCACCAGGCACCGACTGTCCCTCACTACCCATGTGAAATGTGAACAGGCCCTCCCTGCCGGGGCGTGGGAACACTCTGGTCCCACTTCCCAGTTCCTCTGTGAAGCCATATCCGCTTGAAAACAAAGGATTCACTAAGAAAAGACGGGTGGACGGTGGACGGACCTGTCTCACTACCCAGGGACTCCCACAGCCCCGCTGGAAGCCAGAGGGATGTCCAGCCCACACGGCCCAGARGTCATAGGGCACCTGTGGGGCGGAGATACCCCAGGATCCCCCTCTTCAAAACTGCACCCCAGAATCACAAGAGGGCARCACCTCATCCCCTGGACTGTGTCCTTGTGCAAGGTACCTAGGAAGCCACCTCTCCAGGAAGCCATGCCAGTCCCTCTCCCACCTGGCATGGCCAACAGCAAGTGTGTGGGCCAGAGGCCACTCCTTAGGCTCTAGTGAGTACAGCAAGATGGGGACGGCTGCAGGGGTTCAGGGTGTCCATGTCTCAGGGTGACAGGCTGTGGACCTGGCCCACATCCACCCGCAACCAGCACCCACACTGTGGGACCAACCCCACTTTAGTTAATCCCAGAGACACGTGGTCTTCATTCCATAAACACCTTAATCATTTTTTCCCCTTAAATTAGCCAGAGTGGGATTTATGGCCTCAAATCAGAACCCTGGCTGGGTTCCCCAGGGTTCATTTTACCTGAGCGGGGTGATAAGATCCTGTTTGGGGTCAGCAGACACAAGGACACATCACTCACATGATTCAGGCTCTGGGTCAGCCTCAGACCACCATGTGAGTTCCATCAAAGTCTCCTGTAAAGCCACCTGTCCACCAGAGAGCCTCTGAGCCTCCTCCACCCCAGGCTCACTGCCCCCTTGCCAACCCCCTCCTTCTGCCCTTCCTGCTCTCTACCCCACACAGCTCAGCTTTGCGAAGAAACCCCCCTGCTGGTGAGGCCTTATTCTGAGCTGTCTCAAATCTGAGCACAGTTGTGGGTTCAAGGCACTCAACAGCTTCCAGGGCATGTAGCATTTACAACTATGAGGACCTCAGCAAAGCAAATGCATTCCATAAGGATGAGGGTTCCGTCCATTCTTCAGTCAATGAGCTTAAGGATGCCCCTGGCTTGAGAGAGCCCTTCTCATCTGAGTCGGGTGTCCCAGGCTCCAGGTCTCACACCCGAGGTTTTGGGCTGCTAGTTAACCAAGCTGATGCCAAGCAACTGTTTGGCTCCAGCCTCTCATTCAGATCTGAGGACCAGAGCTCCTTTGAAAGTGACTCCCTGTTGGAAAAGGAACAGAGGGGTGGCTGGTGTAGACGGGAAAGAAAGAGCCCCGTCCTCACCATCCCCCAGAACCAAAGAGGTGTGCTCAGAGATCTGGGTGCTTCTGAACCATGCACTCTTGGGGGAGGGAAACGGAGGGGGATTGGCCCATGAGAAGGTGGGAGAAGGGCTGAGGGCAGTGGGACGCCTCAGTTGTTCACCAGAAGGAAAATATTTTCCGAAATTAAAAGGGATCCTTAGATGTCGAAGAAATGAAAGCGTTTTGCTTTTCCCCTGCGAATGTCAGCTTAGGAACAGGAGTGGAAAGGTAGAACAGACTTTATTAGATGACAAGCAGTCCCATCCAGGGCTTCTCATCCTCAAAGGGACACGCATGTACACACACACACACACACACACACACTCACACACACACATACTTAAACACTCACACACACTCTCTCTCTCTCTCTCTCTCTCACACACACACACACACACACACACACACACATACACACACAGAGCAATTCATTTTAAAAACTGCCTTTATTTACAATGTGGTTCCTAGAACAGAAGCCAGCCTTCTGTGTGCCAGTCATGCATCCCCCCTGAGACCATAGCCACACAAACAGCTAGGGAGCTGTGCAGAGATGGTCAGTCATCGTCAACAGAGTCCAAAGTGCACGCACACCATCAGCCCTACATTCGGAAATGTGGACGGGTCCCCTCTAGCAGGTGGCAGTCGACTTGGTCCCCTCTCTACTCAGCCATCCTCCAGTGGCAAAGGATGACCTAACAAAGCTCCCTCTGAACCTTGTCAGTCCCATCATCCACAGAGACACCTGGATACACAGGTTGCAATTCCACAAAAAACAGTTGGGAGAACTCAGTGGGATCCTGCAGGGTGGTTTATAGCCAAGGGCCAGGGGAGGGGATCTGACTAGCTCTAAACATTGGAAAGCTATGCTAAATGAGTGCCAAACTGACTTCATCTAAAAAGGTAGGTGGTGTATCCTTTTCTAATTTTGGAATTCAAACTAAAGGCTAATAGCATTGCCAGGTCCAAATTCACCTCTTGCTGTTCCATAGAGAAGATTCATTCACAATTAGAGCATCTTAATATCAGCAGGTGCTGTGGGAGACAGGGTATCCTCTTACCAAGTAAAACACACCTCGGGAAGTACTTGTCTGTCATCTGGAAACTGACTCATTGCCATGCATCCATAGTCCCGGGCTCTGAACCACCACACTTTGGCTCCACAGTCAGAACTGTGCAACTGTGACCTCTACGTGGGGCCCCTGAAGCTTCAAATGTCTTTGTTTCTGAAATTGCAAAGGTCCAGGTCCCCTAGATGGTGGCCCTGCAAAGTGAATTTCTCTTGGTTTTGTTAGATTGCCAAGGCAAAGCAGCCTCTGGGCTCCAGGGGACGTGTTTACTGTGCAGTAAGCTGGGACACAGAGCTCTCTGTGAATGCAGAGATATACTTACAACTGTTTCCTACAGAGCCTGGAGGAGGACTGCAGCTCCTGAAATCCAAAGCTTCCARGCTGCAGGCCACCCCTAGACCCAACAACCAGCATGAAGGACAGAAGGGGCGGCAGAATGGAGGAAGACAGGGCTCCCTTTATACAAAGCATTTGGTTTTCTATTATACTTCTCTCTAGACCAGCAGTTCTGCAAAGATCAACAAGCTACACTTGAACTTGGGAAAGGAAAACACCTAGCCAGCAGCCCAGGGCAGGGCCTGTGACCAGCTGCAACTCCATCTCCAAAGAGGGACAGAGGAATACCCAAAGAAGCCTCAGCCCCCCAGAGGTCCTCACACCCCCTAAGTCCTTGTGGCCAGTCCCCACATGCAGGTCAGCCTGAGCCAGAGGTCTTACCTCCCAGGCTGAGCCACATGCATTCATTATACTAATGCTCTTCAGGGTCTGTCCCTGCAGTTAAAATCAAAAAGCAGTTCCTGATACTAGCTCACAGTCCACTGCACTTCAACATGCAGGGTACGAGCAGGAAGAAGTGGCGATTCGTTTCCTTAAACTCACCCACCACTGAACAGAACATGAAGAAAGAAGCCGCTCCACAGCCCAGATGGAGGGGGATGAGAAAATAGATCCATGTTGGATGAACTTTTAAAACCCACATATAAAATGTGTCTCGGAGGCAGCCGCGCTCCTATTTTCAGGGTTCGTAACACACACTTTATGGCGCTGCTCGGCAGGTCAGGTCACTGCGCTTTGCAGCAATGTTCGGAGGCTTTAGGCGGCCGACGCTCACTCTAAATAGCTGTTCTGGCCAAGCATAGCCACACTTAAAACCACACTCTTTAATGGAAATGGAATCTATCCACGGCAAGCAGCGCAGTCCAGAGAGAGAGATGGAGGGTGCTTTCTAAAGCCCACGGTGCCCAGGCTCAGAGCCTCATCCTGGGTATCAATGTACATAAGATATGCCAAAAATCCCCCCGTGCCTCCTCCCCTTGCCATGCCCTCTTAGTTCTTGAACACTGAGCTCTATTTCCAGGGAAAGATGAAATGACAGCCTCGAGGTTGAAGCCACGGTATACTTAGAACTCGGCTTTGGGAATAGACTGAGCTGGCAGCACCGTCTTCTCCACCCTCTCCGACTACACTGCGGCCTCATTTCAACAGAGGCATTCAGCTACCCGATGGTGAGGTGGCTGCTGGCTCGTGGATGGACCCCCAGGGGGAGGCCAGGGCCTCACACCAGCATCCCCTGGCTGCCTGGGGGTGGCCGGGGAAAGCTGTACTCCGGATTTTCACAGCCCGATTGCCAACCCAGAAAGATCAAACCAGCCTCTGCTTTACCAGCAGGACACAGCGTGCACAGACCTGTAGACGGGCTACRCTTTAGACACATACTGCTCAGACTCCCCAAAGCAGTGTCCACCTCCGCACTGGGCAGAGGACGCAGCTACCCGGCTTACCTCAGCGTGAAGCGGTCCTCGGTGGAGTTTCTGGAAATGGAGATGGGGAAAGTCAGTACGGCTCCTTGTCGAACCGTGGTTGGGACATAGTGAACGGCCACATTGCTGTCCAAACGCAGCTCCCTCAGGGCCGGGGAGCTGTGGGTCTGGTAGAGGAAGACACTCCCAATCCTGTGCAAGGGGGGCGCAGACTCGTCCATGTCATTGTGGCCAGTCCGAGCGCCATTGCTGTTTCTGGAATCCTCTCGGGTGCAGTCCCCTCTCTCGCCCCCAGGCTGCACGGTGTAGTAGAGCTCCACAGGACTCCCCTCGGGCTGCTCTGCGGGCTTCCGCCTCCCCACCACTGTCGGGGGGCTGAACCAGCTGGCCGGGAGCTCCAGTTCTGCCACACACAGCCCCAGGTCCCCGCCCAGCTGGCAGCTGCCCCTCACCTCCCGGGTCTCTCGGAAAGCGAAGACCCGCAGGCAGGGCAGCCTCTCCGCCTCCCGGTGGTCGTCCCAGTCTCTGCCCACGATGTAGAAGAGGATTTGCACCTTGGGTCGGTTCAGGTAGATCTTGTCCCGCAGGATGTAGGACTTCAGTTTCCAGTTAAGGGAGAACTTGCTGGTGAACCCGAAGGGGTTGGAGGGCAGCAGCAGGTCCTGGGGCACCACCTGCTCCATGGAGAAGGGCCCGTAGCTGGCGTTGAGCACCGGCAGCCCCTTGGACTTGTAGACGAGGAAGGACTCCACCCGGGACTGCAGGCTGGAGTTGCGCATGATGTCCTGGTTGGCCTCCTTCAGGAAGAAGGAGACGTCCGCGTGGTGGATGTGGTAGGTCACGGGCAGATAGGTGGGCAGCAGCGAGAACCTCTGGGTGCTCTCCAGGATCCCTCGGCCTTCCGTCACTGTTGGAAGGGAACCGGAGCCTAGGGTTAGTCACCCCCGTCCTGCAGACCTGCACACCCCCGCCAGAGCTGGCCGCCCTGTGTCTATGCCAACTTATTCACCCAGCGTTTCTTATCCACTTGCTACTCAATACACGCGGCGCCTACCTATTCATGTTAGAAGGAATGAAGGTCTCTAAGCGGAAAACCACAGCCATTTGCCACCCGCGGGAGCTGAGCATGCTGCTGACCAAGGTTCAAGCAAAAGGATCTTCTTAAATTTCAACTGGGGATCACGTTGCCTCCAGGAGGTCAGGTCTGCAACCTGCTCTCTTCTTGTTACAAGGGTGGATAGCAAGGGTCGGGAAGGCAGTGACATCGCCAGCAGAGAGCCCTCCCCGTGGCACCACCAGATGGCCGAGATGGAAGCAGGAATAAGTTTCCCACGGCAGGTGAAGGCCACGTCCATTACCCACGGATGGCACTTCATGTCCACCATTTACACAGGCCGCATGAAGGACACCGTGTAAAGGGGAATGGTGAAGGACCAGGGTGAAAATAAATTAGCTGGAGGCAATCACTACCCCCTGGCACTGTCCTGTCCTTGGGTGAAGCTGAGGAATGCAGAATGCGGGAGGGTGCTTTGGAAGGAGCACTCAGAAGCAGATGAGATGCCTGACCTCACCCGCTCCACGCCCTCGGGCCCACCAGGACACCAGAGCCCTCCAAGGGACAGCGTCTCCCTCCCAGGAGGTCCACACCCCATGGAGACCACCTGTCATCAATGAACAAAACCCTTCTTTCTTTTTGCCTCACTGTGCATATCCCTCCCCCATGAGAAAAAAAATCCCAAATGCCATTTTTTATAGTTTGCTTTACATTCTGTAAGAAAAACACAGAAATTACATAATATACAAAGAACGGATTTAGCGAGTTTTTGAAATGGAAATCACTGGCTCTGCCAAGCTTATGTCTAGGCGAAACTCCGCCAGCCACACACTGGGGGTGCCAACTTGCCCCTGGCCAACCTGCACCACAGCTACCCCAGCCCGAGGTCTCCATGTCGCCTGTCTCAGAGACCCTTGGGGACACGCTCTGCCAAGGGAGACACCCCAAGTCTGCAGGAGGGGACAGCAGAGAACTCGGAGAGGGGCCTGTGCCCGGCTTTGCACACCGCTGTGGGCAAGTCATGGACCCCCTTGGCCTGTCTGGGTTTGAAAGCGGCACGAGGCCTGACCCCACACTGAAGCTACAGGGCACCTCGGACACTGCAGGGTGCCCAGGGGCCTCCGAGCTAACTGCTAGCCTGGAAGCCATGTGGCCAGCTCGTCAGGGGAATCTCAGTCCAACGTCCACCAAACCCAGGGTGGCTGAGCCCTGACTTCACCACCAAGGCTTGTGCCCTGCTGAGCTCTAGGCATTCTGGACCGGCCCGAACCCTAGTAAAGATGGGTTTCTATCAGAAATCAGAACACCACAGCTACAGTAAGAAGCTTCGTGCCTCAGGAGGATGACACACTTCAGCTTTCTGGAAGTCACTCCTGAGACTCCCTCTGAACTCTCCCCACATGCTTTTAGTGAAAGGAGAGGACGGGGTGAACGTCCCAACCAAGCACTGGGTGGAGGCTTTGGGCTGCCTCTTCTCCAGGGCCCCACGTTGGCCTGGTCACGCTCCTGTGCCCACTTCCCCCTGCCTGGAACCCGTTCCTAGACTGTGTGTCTCTGGTCCTGGTCCCCACCTGGGTCCTTCCACTGTAACCGCACTTCCCTGTCAGAGCTGAATGCTTGCTGGTGACTCCACACACACGGGGCCCCCGCACAGCGATGGGCACGGGCACGGGGGCTWTCTCTCCATGGTACTCGCTGGGTGTCCTCGGCACAGGGCCCGGCAAACATCAGACACTCCATAAACGTTTAATAAGCAAACGAATGAATGAATGAGTCTACAAATAGATTATGTTTTTTAAGTTTCCAAGCGCAGATTACATTTTCCATTAGGACGGTATTTGCTGTCCTCCCCGCTGCATTACTGTGATCAGAATCTCTGATCCTTTTATCCCCTAGGGGCTCCGTGTAATCCAACCGCCAGGGAACTAAGGAGTCCCTGTGTGGCGAGATTGCTAAAGGGCCTCTGTCCATCACACAGCACCCCATGTTAAAGCAGGTGGACATAGACACGAACCCCAGGGCCGTGAACTTCCCTGCTGAGGGTCCGAACCCTAACGCTGAGGACACAAAGTTGATTTGCTACTAATGACACAGTCCCAGGCCAACAGTGTCAGGTCCTCTGACTTGATTCAGGAAAGCGGGAAGGAGTGAGAGGTCACTGTGAATGTCATTTGAGGGGCACTAACTCTGCAGCTTTGTTCTACAGTCAGCCTGTCCTTTTTTGTGCCTGGTATCTGACCGCCATGGTTAGAGCATCCACATGCTGCCTGCCCAGTGCCACTCCCCTCGTTCATTCCCTCGGTTTTTACCAAGCTACAGAAATAACAGCCGTCACTCTGCACCACGCGGGAACGGCTGAGGGGACTGTCCCTGGCAGCAGACTCCCGCGGGGYGGCGGCCAGAACCCAAGAACACCATCTGCATGCCACATAAAAACGYGTGGAGTGTCAAGTGGTAAAGGCAGCTACGCACAATTAATCTCAATTAGCCACCATCAAGAAACACGATCACGTGCAATCCTGCAACCATGGCTGTAAACGCGGAGCTGAAGGAAAGTGGCGCGTTCAGGTCTCTGAGCAGCTTGGAGGCCTCACAGAGGTTTTATAGGAGCCATGTGACATGTCTGAGCACACACTTCTTCCCTGAGAAACTGAGTCGCTGGCCATCTGCACACAGGACCTTACCCCCTGTGTGGACCCAACGGGAATGACCACAGGAACATGACAACAGCTAAAAGTCCACGTCTGAGCTGCAGCCCACCCGTCCTGGCTCCAGAATTCTGAGGCATCACCTGGTACTCAGGCAGAAGACTGCTGGGCCAGGGCTTCCAGGGGAACCCTGGGAACCCGCTGCCATTGGATTCCCAGTAAACAGAAATATTCCAGAGGCCACACTTAGCATAAAACATAAACTCAGTACCAAACTCTGGTTGTTTTGCTGGAATTCAAAGTCACTGAGCACCTTGGATTTTGATTTTCCAAGTCTGACCACCCTGGGCTTAGAGTCATGGAGAGAGAGCAGCAGTGAGCCTGTCATGCTGCCTGGTCTTGGTCAGAGCTGACTGGATCACACGACGGCCCCCGCTGGGAAGGGAGGGAGCCCTCGTATCCACGGGGTCTGCTCCAGACTCAACCAGTGCAGATCAAAACAGGCAGGGACGGCTCCTCTTGCCACTATGCCCTGCATATCTGGGCTCATGGCTCTTCCGGAAGCACTGACATCGTGCCTGGCATGACGAGGGACCTGGGCAGACGTAAAGCGCCCAGTAGGGTGCACGTGTCACGTGGTTCTGAGCTGCCGACGCATCCTGTTATATTAGGGACTGGAGCACCCACAAGCTGTGACCAATCCCATGGACACTGGGGAATGAGAGGATTCCGCATACCAGGTGCCAACAACTTCTGAATTGCAACCAGCAGGATCGAGGGTGAGCCAGCCACACAGAACAGATGGCCACACAGGTCAGGCTCCTGCTGATGTGCCCCCCTGATAGAGCAGGGTGCAGGACAGCAGGTGGCAGGGCCACCCTGAGCTCTCAGAATGAGTCCAGGCCTAACCTCAAACCATGACAGAATCCAGTCCCCAGGTATCAGTGTCACCAAACCCTTAGGAGCCGTTGCCAGCAGTGGGTCTCTTGGGGATTCCAGTCCCATGGGGATGGCATATGGTGAAGTGCAGGGCGGCCCCACCCAGAGAGATCTGAGAGCAAGGGAAAGCCCATGGAAACCAGGAGACCCCACTAGGCAGTCGACACTTTCAGCTCCCAGGTGACCCTTACACTGAAGACAGTCTACCTGGAAGAGCAAGAAGCAGAGAACAGGAGACGAGGACTCACAGTGACAGTACAGGGCACCAGGAGGAAGATCAGGAGGGGCAGCGCTCACGATTTCCCCCTCAGCCTCACACTGCCCAGGATTGTGCCACCTCCCTTCCCAGCCTCAGGACGCTGCTCCACTGTTCCTGACCTCATCTTCAGGCCACAGTAAGCCTCTGTCCACACCCAGGTGCGACCCCTACCTTCCTACACTGCTGCCTTGGCCCTCGGGGTCACAAGGCTGTCCCTTGTTCAGGTCTCCAGCAGGAATATGGCCTCCCCTTCTAGACCACTGCCCATCAGGCCCCCACTCCGGGAGGTTCTCCCGTCTGCAGGGAACTCTGCGTCCATGCGGTGGCTGGATTGCCTTTCTACTCGGGTGTGCAGCAAATGACACTTTGTTCCTAAGTTTGTTTTCTTCTCATCACCAAATTCCTTCCAGAGTAATGACACGTTTGCTGGAACACCGCCCCTGTGCTACAGTGATGTGGGAGCCTGTCCCATAGCACCCTCGTGCTCAGCACAGGGGGGACCCTGAGACAGAGAGGGCCAGGGACCAACCATGATGGCTGGGCTCCTTGACCACTCATCAGGAGACCCTCACAAGGCATTTAAGCATCAGGTTCCTTTTGTTGTCTTTTGTGTTTTAAGTCACGTTTCTCCCAAAGAATATCAACCCACGATGTTGTGTGGTCCCCAGGGGTGTGCATACAAATGCATGCATGCACACGCACACGCACACACACGATTGCAGAGTGGAACACGTTCACTTTATACACTCCGTTCTTCATTCGCTTCTAAAACACTGAGTTTATTGTAGAAAATATTCCAGAAGAGAACATGTCCTCAACCCCGAGTGACTCAGGGAGCCCATGTGCACAGCACCTTCCAAAGGTGCTAACACAGGGCAGTGGGTCTTCTCAGGGAGCTCGCCACGCATGGGGAAGCCGTGACCTTACCTTGAGAACAGCGCGGCTTCTGGTCCTGCTCACTCGGGCCATTTGTGACAGACACTTGTGCCAGGCACTGGAGAGACAGG